GCCATGAAATACTCACCTTAACTCGGAAAGTTAGTTTTCATGGGTGGCTTTATACTTTTGAAACGCACTGTATTTGCGCTTACAGTGCTTGACTATGCCAAGGAGACTCCGAATCCCCCGGTTTCGATTTTTCTACTGAAATACTGCTCCTCCACTAGATTCTCAATGACTTTAATTTAGAGTAAATACTCGCTGCCCATTCCCTACGTTTCTTCTGCAGGACGCGTTTCCTCTCCTATGTCCACGTACTAATCACTACGAACAAATCAGCAAGCACCTTCCATTTAAATTTTAATTCCAGATAGATGTAAGATATTATTTGCATTAGGCTAACTACAACACTTGTGAAACTAATGATGACAGCAAATAAGTGGCAGCAGCACCGTTGTGTCCGTTGATGACCTTTTGATTACGACCCCCTCCCAACTCTCATCGGAGCAAATACGACCCCTGTCGAGGATTTCCTCGACTCTCGACTACGCCGACATTTTTGGCCTTTCACTCTATATCTGAAACACCTAGTTGAAATAGAGCATCCAGAAAATACCATCAGGATCTTGAATAGGATAACTACCAATGAGGTGGTGGTTCGCTTCGCCTCTTACCCAAACGAATCACAAGTGTTTCTGTCAACCTGTGAAGCGAGGACATTGTTATGTCCATAGGAATCATCACTGCTAAATGGAATCTCAATCGTCAGTTTTCAAAAATGTGGCTCGAAGATGGATTGAAGCGGAGTTTTACTAGAACATCAGAGTTGCAATGACCAGTTCTATTCGGCGTTCTAACTCGAAAACTGTTTAGTCTGCTTTTATATGACTCATGGTGATTGAACAAAATACATAGAAGCGGTGCTGTATAAATGAACGAAAACCTTTGCACGGTTCTCATAAGAGGAGAATAATTTTGTCTCTCTTTTTCATCATTTTAGCACCCAATGTTGCCCGGAAAAGAAGGGAAATGTTCACTGTGCCAATGGTGCGACTACACAAGGAGAAAACCTTGCCGATCTCGGAGGTACGTATTCTATTTTGAGTCACAGCCCAAGATTAGTTCAGGTGAATGAATCTTCTCAGTGGAGAGCTAGGAGAGAGCTGCTTGAAAGTGACTTCTCTTGGCTTCAAAGTGCTTTATAAGGGCGCTGAGCATTGACAAGAGGTTTTTTTTGTCCACAGCATGCCGGAGTCTGGCGCCCTTTCAAAAATGTTCATCTGCTTTCGCTCTTCCCTCAGTCTTTCATTGCCTTATTGTTAGCACAAAAGTGAGCGACCCTTGAGATTTCAACTTTTTTCTACGGATTCTTTTATTTTCTATTTGCTGCCAGCAAGCATTGATTTCACTTTCGTGTTCATGCACTACAACAGTTTGATCCTTGGGAGTGCCCTTAATGAAGAGCCAATCATTAATTTGCTGGTTGAAGGATAGCTTTGATTGCAGGACAACAGGCCGCTTATTATGCTTACCAGCAGTACATCAGTGAAACGAATGCAGAGGAAAAGAGGTAGTTGTTACGCAGTGTAAAATTATTTTGCAGACTACATTGTAGCTGTGCTTATGTATATAGCGGTGAAGAGAAGATTAGCGTGTAATTAAATACCAGTACGCACATGTGAAATAACAGCGCATGAGTAGCTCTTGGCCGCAAACTACAGCTTCCATCCGCAAACGGACGGAAGCTGTAGTTTGCAGCCAAGAGAAGTATGTTCATAAAGCGAAGGAAAAGAATCATTAATCGTCTTGCAATGCATTTCAACACAGCCACCTCTGAGAACCTCTTATCCATCTACGGCGCTATTGCACTACTATTACAACCCCAGTGGGGGCCGAGATGGGTCAAAAAATAATTTTCTATGGGGGTTATCGAGGGTCCTGATCACGAATATGACATCCATTTTTGGCGCTGGCGCCAAATTGGCGCCTTATCACCAAATTCGCTGTAAACTTCTGAATAGGGGTTATTTGGGGCCCTGATCACGAATATGACACTCGTTTTTGAACATTCGTGCTGTTTAACGCATATTTTCTGATTTTCTAAGCTTCTCACCTATAGCGCCTACGACTAAGCTTAGGAGGGTGAAACTCCGGAGTGGGTAAACCACGCACCGTGTGGCAAAAGTTGGAGTGTGTTAGACCACAGGGGAGTGGCCTACTCACTTTGGAGCCCTCCACTATTCAAAGGCTTAGTCCTGATTGCGATCTAATTAGTGCGAGGGCGCAGACGAGCAGGAAATAGGCGCCGAATAGCGCCAACAACAAAAACGAATGTCATATTCGTAATCAGGACCCCAAATAACCCCTATACAGAAGTTTACAGCGAATTTAGTGGGAATCAGTCGTGGCGCCACCTGGCGCCAAATAGCGCCAAAAAGAATTATCATCATTCGTGATCAGGGCCCTCGATAACCCCCATAGCCGAAGTTTCAGCGAAATTGTTTTTTGACCCATCTCACCTCTACTGGGGTTGTAATAGTGCAATAGCCATCTAACTCGTGTCTCCCATGGACGAGACAGCGGTCGAAGAGCATTACATTGACATAACTCCTACAGGGACATGTCGTGCAATTGGACATGTCGTGCAATTGGGGCACACTTTGGTGACAAGCCATAACATCCTCATAGCGCACTTTCAAGTTTCGTGAACGATAAAAATCTGCCTTTGTGAGCAGTTTTATCTTACTGATAGAGACACTAGATTGCCATATAACTTAACCTGCAATAAGTACCTTAATGTTGTTTTTGAGCCTTGAACAGGTTCTTGCTTTCAGGCTTCCCGGACTGGAGAAGTTCACTCCGAATCAATTGTTCTGGATAACCTATGGAAGCTCATGGTGTTCCAAGCAAACAGACAGCAGGCTTGTCAAGCAGGTAGAGTGAATACAGCATTTGTGCGCTTCCACAATTTCTACCGGCCAGCACTGCAAACTTAATATGAGCAATGAACACTGACTACATGGAGACCTCACTCAGTTTACCATCGCTTCATATCAAACTTCAAGGGGGTCAGCCATTAGTACATTGTGACCTTGGTCTACTCTACAGTTTCAAGCTATGAGGTCGGAAACAAAGTGTTCAAATCAAGTTCGGGCTGCTTCAGGGTTTTTTCCTGTGCTGTGAAGCTTCTATAGGTGGTTTATGAATGTGACGCGCTGTGTTGCCTGCGGTGCTCCGATCAAATTCTCCAGTGATGGCGGATGGCTTCTGCATCACATGAAATCAGCTTTCACCATGAGATCAACCGAGGGCTCATCTTGTACGAGCTTCGACTGGGGACACCGCCCCGCAAGACCGACCGGCAGAATCAATCAAGTGATAGCATAGGATACGGTCTCTCACGCACGTCCGCGCTCTCGTCGAAGGCCACTTGAGACAGTCGTCCCATTATCTGGCAGAGCGTCTTATCTCTCTACGGAGAACAACGACGACTGACTGGGACATGAGGCCACTAGTGATGGCAGGTGAATTTGTTGCGTTAACCATCCAGAAGCAGCAGTGGCTTCGCTGCGTCAACCTGACATTTATGGGGAGATGGGGAAGTTGCTAAGCTTTTGGAATTGTAACGGCATCATCCAATAGTGATCTGCCTGCAGCTCGGCGATTGCAAGCGTAGCGATTGCTAGCTGCTAGACATGGTCACAGAAAATTTCATGGAAACGGTGAAAAGTTAACTGCTCTACGTCAACACGCTTTCACAGGGGTTTACGGTTGAATGTTCAAATATTCCTATTTGGGG